AAGCATTTTGTGACCTGGTCATAAATAGAAACAAGGTTAGTCGGGCAGGATCTATCTGCTATGAATCCATGCTAGTTGCCCTTTAGCATTGCTTTCCCTGCTGGACTCCCACAAATGTGATCCTTAATAATTTTTTCAAAAGTTATCCCAAGCATAGAGGTGAGACTAACCGATCAATAGTTACCTGTATCCTCTTTCCTCCCCTTCTTGAAGATAGGGACCACATTGGCCCTTTTCCAGTCCTCTGAGACCTGACCTGAGCAATAAGAGTGCTCAAAGAGCTGTGCCAGTGGCTGTGCTATGACACTGGCCAATTCCTTCAGGACCCTTGTATGAAGATCATCTGGGTCTGCTGACTTAAACACATCTAGTGCCTCCAAGTGTCTCTTTACTAAGTTGGTGCTAACAGTTGGTGGGCTGGTTTCCCCTTTATGCCTGTCTATGATCCAGTTGGGAGATTTGTCCTGATCCAAGTTCAGGAATACAGAGGCAAAAAACTCATTGCAGAGCTCAGCTTTGTCCCCCTTATCTGTCACTAATCGCCCTAGTTTGTCTTGTAGGGGTCCTATGCTACCCTGCACCTTCTTTTTGCTCACTATATACCTGAAGAAGGACTTTTTGTTGTATTTAATTTTTGGTACCAGCCTAAGTTCCATTTCTGCTTTGTCCTTTCTGACTGCCTCCCTGCAAGTGCAGGCTAAATAGATATACTCTGCCTTGGTAGCTAACCCCTGCTTCCACTGCCCATATGCCTCTTTTTTGCCCCTAAGCATTCCTGGATTTCCCTGTTCAGCCAAGAGGGTTTCTTGGCCCCTTTGCCCCCTTTCTTGCGCAAAGGGATAGCCTCCTTCTGCGCCTGTAGGATTGTTCCCTGTAGGAATGGCCACCCTTCCTGGACTCCTATCTCACCAGTTCTCCTGTTTTTCAGTGCCTCACTAACTAATCTCCTGAGCACACTGAAGTTAGCTTTTCCTTTTCTTCATTCTCATCAACTTCTGAATTGCTTTGACTGAAATCACTAAAAATATCAACTCATAGCAAATAAGCATAGTGGAAAGTTTCAGTCTAAAAGGCTCAAATCTGATCAGTTATTAGCAACTGAAAACAGTCTTATAATGGGAAATGGTATGCAATCTTGGTAATAAATGGTGGAACCAGCCTTGCCTAAACTTAGAGTTTAGAACTCAATTTCTAATCTGAAGAAGTTTGGGGATTTTTCAATATCACTTGAACCCAGATCTCAGTTTTCCATTTTGGGCAGCATCTGGTGCTATGAAATTTACATAGAAATTAACTTATCTGTTAGTAGGCTATTTTTCTTTTAATCTGCCTAAGTGTTCTCTATTATATTTTGAAATAAAGCCATATTTCCTAATAATGAATCATGGCAGACTCTTTTTTAAAAAAAGGTGTTGATTGCAAGGGCAGATGATGGTGTATACCTTTATTAAGTGTCTCACTCCTTATATAGTACTTTCATATGATATTCAATAACTTTCAGTCTTACACTAGTAGGGGAAGCAGAGATACATTACAAAGTGAGAAGGGAAAATAGTAAAGGTGCATCGATACATCGGTCCAATATTGGATCAATATCGATACTGGACTGATGTATTGGTAAGGAAAGTTGGCTGTATTGGAAATTGGCCTGAAGTGCCTGATAATTTGCCCGATAAATGCCAGTGTGTGCATGCAGCTGCAGTACAGCATACAGGCAGCAAGGAGCACAGCCCAGCAGCGTGCATCTGGTAAGTCTATTGTAGTGGAAGGGGAGGGGGGAAAGAAGGGGCATGGGGGTGGAGATCAATGCCCCCTCATGGTGAGGGAGGGAGGGGGCAGTGGCAGGGGCAGGTGCTGCCCAGTTGGGGTGGGACAAGGTACGGGATGGAGCAGCGGTTCATTGGTAGGGGAGAGGTAGCTCCTGCCACTGCATGCACCCCGAGAGAGAATGGGGGGGTGGGCATATGCCCCTGGATCTGTGCAGGGTAGATGGGCTGCAGCTGCAGGGCTCTTCTCAATGGGGGCTGGGCTTCAGGCAGTTGCCAGTGGTGCTGGGAGGGAGGCTACAGAGGGAGGCTGCGGCCACCCCAAGTTTTATCATGGCCCTCCTGTAGCACCGCTCCCAGTGCCACCACAGCCCCAGTTCAAACTCCTGCCTGCACCCATGTGCCCAGAACAGGCAGGGCTGCACCAGGAGGGCAGCAGTGGCACTGGGAGCAGTGCTATGGTGGAGCTATGGTGAAATTTGGGGTGGCTGCAGCCCCCTCTGTAGCCCCCCTCCCAGCACGGCCACCATCTGCCCTGAGCCCAGCCTCCGACAAGAATAGCCCTGCATAGCCCTGGCTCTAGCTCGCAGCTGCAGCCTGCCTGCCCTGTGTAGATCTGGGGCACATGCCCCCTGCCCCATGCCCTCACAGGTTGTGCACAGTGGTGGAAGCCACCCCCCCAATGAGCTGTGGCTCCATAGTGTGCCCTGCCCCACCCTGTCTGGGCAGCATCTGACCCTGCCCCCTCCCTCCCTCACTGCAGGAGGCATTGACGCTCACCCCCATGCCCCTTCCTTCCACCCTCTCCTTCCACTACAACAGACTTACCAGCTGCACGCAGCTGTATTAGAAAATGGATTGGTATTGGCCAATATGCCTCCTTAAATATCAGCTATCGGTATCAGCCCCAAAAATCTCTATCAGTGCAGCCCTAGAAAATAGAGGTTGCTTTTTCAGGCATCCAAGGTTGTTTGGAATGTGGTTTATATATATCACT